ACAGCAGATGGCCCCGCCCCTCCCTGAGCCTGGTTCTGCTGGAGGTTTCTTCCTGTTAAAAGGGAGTTTTTCCTTCCCACTGTCGCCAAAGTGCTGCTCATAGGGGGTCATATGATTGTTGGGTTTTCCTCTGTATCTATGAAGCGCCTTGAGGCGACTTTTCTTGTGATTTGGCGCTATATAAATAAAATTGAATTGAGTCTGAGATTTAATTTAATGCTGTTTAAGACTTTTTTAGTAAACGTTTGTGAGAACCTGCAGAGAGTCTGATTAAATGATCCCTCTTTTATTCTGAAGGTCTTACCTTCAAACATTCACATTAATGATCACACTGACGATTCAGCATCTCAGAGCGCTGAGGACCTGTTTGTGCGTATCTGAGCATGCTCAGTTTGGTTAGAAATAACCTTCCTTGTCTCACAATTTTAAGGCTTCCGGAAACCTCCAGATGTTTCCTAGTCAGGAAAGAGTCTTCTCTTCACTGATTGGCTCAAAACAGGTGATTTTTTGGCACAATAACAGGCTCTAAAGCTCACGTGTTGTCTGTACACTGTAGAAATGGTGACATCAGCATCAGCCGCTGATCTGAGGCGTCCACCTGATGGCCGCCTGATTGGTTTTTGTGTGACTATATTTAGATAAGAGGGCGGAGTCATAAGGTTAGTTAATGGCAGCGAGGTTTTTGGGTTGTTACAGTAACTAGAAGTAACTACAGTAGTTAGAAATTCGAAGGCCAGGTTTTGCTGTGAGCGAGTCTGAGACAGTTTCTGCTCAGATTTCATGTTGGACACTCTGAAGGTTCCTCGGGGAAGCGTTTGATCAAAGGTTAATGGATCTTAGAGAAATTTCTGCCAATCACAAGCTGTGAGGAGCACACGTGTTGTCAAAGTGGTGAGGTGCGAAGCCGCCGTTTCCTGCAGGTTTCCCATCATCTCCCAGGTTTAAGTCCTTCTTTAAACGTCTGTCATCGCTGCCTTGGAGAAGCAGCTGAAGGTTCAGACTGACACAGAGACGGAGCCTGAAGTTGTCGGGAGCTCACGTCACAGAATTTCAAGCTTGGCGATTGGATGGTGAAATGAACTCTGGGAGTTTGAGGCGGATGAGTGTAAATGACCCCAGAGAGGATCGCTGTTTGAGGGAAAGCTGAATGGGATCGTTCCTGCAGGAACCACGGAGGTCACGCCTTCACAGAACTGAATGAATGTCTTTCCAGATGTTTTCATCTGTATTGTGTCTCAGCTAGGACACAATACCAAAGACAGGCTCTCATTTAGCAAACAGCCATTGCCCTCTCATCCCACTGTGTCTGACGCTGCCTGTGTCTAATCCTTATGTGAAAGATAAGTCCTGACATCGGGTTTCTCCTGTTATCCCTCACTCATTAGCTTCAGGAACTAAAAACCTGCATGGTCAGGTTCAGGGAAAGCTTGTGATTGGACCAAAACATCGCTTTGCATCAGGAAACTGCTCGTTCTGCACTGAGAGCATGTCTCACGCTCAGCCGGAAGTCTGGAAACAGCCGGCCTGACAGTCACACCTGCTCTTCCAGCTGCTTTGGGATGATGATTTTTTAAATACTCGCTGATGTGTTTGACTTAAAATGTTATTTACTATAATTTCTCTTCTATTTCCACCAACTTCATTAAAGTTGAGACGCTCTGTGGCTCGGCGAAATAACAGGAACGATGGTGTTGCAGCGTGCCGATGGACGCCATGTTTAAATTACCCTGAGCTTCTTCCCCTGCGTGATGCCCTGAAAGAAAACATAACAAGAGGTGCGCTGGTGCTGTTTCATCTGTGATCACGATGACGCACAGAACGGGTCAGGGCATTTCAAATGCTGAGCATAGCCTGTACGTAAAAGATGGACTCCAATTCTGAAGCCACTTTTCAGTTATTTATTTGTAAAAAATGTCTGGAGTCATGTATGATGTTCGTTCCACTTCTCACGTGTGCACCACTTTGTGTTGGTCTTTCACCTGGAATTCCAATAACATTGATTCATGTTTGTGGCTGTAATGTGACAAAATGTGGGAAAGTTCAAGGGGCCCAATACTTTTGCAAGCCGCTGTAGCTAGGTCCACTCTGTGGCGGCGTTCAGGACGCATGCAGTCACATGACCAGCTCTACGCGGGATATGCCAATCACCCGTCGCACGTTGGTGACCACAGTGAAACACAAACGCTTCTCGGGCCTGGTGGAGCAGCGGGAACGGGCTTTGGTCTGTTTGTAAATCTGAGATTCGGGGCTTCGTCTCAGGCGCCCGACGTTTAAAGGTGATGAATGAGAGTCACGTGAAGAGCTTACAAGACGCCGCTACCATCGTACACGTTGCTTTAAGTGTTGACACACTTTGAAAGCCAACATTTACACCACTGACAGGTGTCTTACCATACAGCTGTTTGTCTATCAAAAAGTCACAAAAAGCACAAATTAACACACACATACAGTGAATGCTCACATGTCAGATATCGTCTCACTGCTGGCTTTCACCTACCTGTCTTAACGAATCCACCTGAAAGGACAGCAAGTACGAAACAGGAAGTCAGAGTTAGTCATTTGGTTTTGTGGCAATTCTTAGAAATCATGAAAGCGACACACATAAACGGTTTGCAGACAGGAAGGGGACAAAGAAAGCGGCTTACCGACTTCCTGAAGCAACACAGCTGAAGAGAAGAAAGAGACGAGAGAGACATGAAGCAGAAGTGACATCAGAAGGTCTCTGTTTGACACACCCGTCCTCAATCTGGACTTCATGCTGCTGAACGAACGCGTGACAAACGTGACGCCAACGACGGTTCGAGCGGTGGTCAGCTGTTAGTTTACTGTTACATCTAACACAAATTTAAAGTGTGCGATTATCACGGACACGTGCAGGTTTCATATGAGAGTCCAGCCTGAATGGACCTGACCCGTCCTCCCCAACCTGCCAGCATCACAGCTCGACCGGACACATCCGCATCTGTCCACACCTGGACCAACAAGGAAGCGAGAATCTCTCTCCTAGCCTCTCCGGGACTAAGATAAGACGAACTAGCATGTTCTAGTGAGGCGAACTGGGCGAAGACACAAACTCCACAAAAACCACCTGAAAACCCAGTGAAACACCCAGGCTGCCTCAGTACACTCAGGGAAATGAAAGTGGGCGGTTGTTACGTTTAAAAGATTCAAACTGGAAATCTGAACAAAATAACTTCCTGTTTCTGTGGTGACCATAATTCCAAAGATTTGAGACCACGGGAAAATCACTGGAGTTATAAGAGGCAGACGACCACACAGACGACGTGTATGCTATCGCTCTTTATTGTGGTTTAACCTGTCAGAGACAAAAACGTGCAGAAAGTTGTGTATCGAGCCTTGTGATCAGAACCTTCCTGCTGTTTTTAAGCCTGGACTGACAGCTCAGTGGCACAGCGGTTACCACTGTTGCCTCACAGCAAGAAGGTCCTGTGGTCAAATCCACAATCTGGCCGAGTTTGCAGTGGGTACTCTGACTTCCTCCCACAACTGAAAAGTTAGGTTAGTTGGTGTTTCTAAATTACCTGTGATTGCAAATGGTTGTCTGTCTCTCTGTGTTAGCCCCGCGACAGAATGGTGACCTATCCAGGGTTTGCCCCGCCTCTCGCCCTATCACGTCCGGATAGGCCCCGGTAACCCTGGTAAAAGTGTTTTTACGTTAAGTGGCCCTCGAGGCTTGGAGTTGGACACCCCTGGTCTAGAATTTGTTGAACACTCTAAAAAATTAAGTCTTTAAATGAACTTAATGAAAAGGATTTCTACATTAATAAATGGCTTTCTGTCAGCATTAGGCATTTTTTTCAGACTAACATCATTTTCATGGGTTGGATCAACTTAAATAAATTAAGTTAGACTCAACTGCAGGAAATAAGTTGATCCAACTCCATTAAGTTATAATAACAGCATTGCATAATGCTAAAATAAAGCAATTTAATAACATGAAAATTATTTCCATTATTTGTTCATGTTATTCAATTCAGTCCAAAGGAGTTTATTTAAAAATCACAAATCGCCACAGCAGTCGCCTCAAGTTAAAGACCCTGCAATGAAACCCCAACAATCATATGACCCCCTATGAGCAGCACTTTGGCGACAGTGGGAAGGAAAAACTTCCTTTGAACAGGAAGAAACCTCCAGCAGAACCAGGCTCAGGGAGGGGCGGGGCCATCCAAGAGCTGTTAAACGCCACAGGTGACCTGACTACACGTGCCTTCACATCACAAACCCGACGAGAAGAAAAAGCGACACCGGGTGTTCGCCATAAACGTCTGAGTGAACGGCAACAATACTGTGTGAAGATTTCTATGAACCCGGAGAAAAGAATCAACGCATTGATTTTGTTGTCGCCTTATATATCGATAAAGTTGACTCAAACTGTCCTAGCACCTCTCAGCACTGATAATTCAGTCTGGACCAATAGGACGCCAGCTGAGGGCAAAGGAGTGACAGCAGCAAAGACAAACTCCACAAAGACAGGCAAAGGAGGACAGGTCAGAGGTCGTCAGAGGTTAAGGTGCCCGTCCACACCTGTCCATCTCCTCCTGTTCCAGTACGGCTCCTGCAGCTCTACGTAGAAGCTGGCATTCTTATCATACTCCTCGTGATCGATTATTTTAATGGCTATGATCTTCCTGTGGGGGGAGGGGGGTCAGAGGTCAAGGGTCATGCATTAGTTCACACACACACAAACACAGACACCTTGTCTGCCTGCTGGGATGCAAAAACATGATTAGCTCAGATTATTAAAGGATGAGCTCAACTCAAACTTCCCTGCACTCGTTATGACATTAAACACCACATCAACAGGGCTGACTGAGGTCAAAGGTTATCAGTGATATAGAAGGGGTCAGGGTACAGGAAGGCGACACCCCCCCACCTTTCCTCTCACTCATCTCCAGCAGCCGAGGCTCTCCGATCTCCAGGAAGAAGTTCTTGTTCTTCTCGTACTCTTCGTCATCGATTATATTTATCCGAATGGTTTTGCTGAAACAGAGAAAAGCCGGAAAGAGAGTTTGCAGAAGGAGAAGCGTGCAGAAGCCCGAGACACGGCAAAAGGAGAAACACGGCGGGCAGAGGGAGACGCCGCCGACCTTTACACACACACCGCGTGACCTCGTGTTTCTGTTCGCCAACACCGCTTCGTACGAACGTTATGTGCGCAGCTCTCTGAGCTCCAACCCTAAACCAGGCCAGTACTATGCTTAATATTTGTGACTCCAGGAAATCAAATCTGAGTTGTTCAGGTGAGGCAGCAGAGTTAGGAGTGTGAGGACGCACAGAAGAGAGTCAGTCATTTCTGAATTTCATGTGAAACACAGAGAAGACGAGAGGACGGCGAGGAGATCTCATGATGACACAGTTTGTTTGTTCGGTGTTGGAGGCGGAGCTGGAGGCTACAGCAGGCCGTGTGTGTGTGTGAATGGAAACTGCATCCACTCCCATGTTTATTTAATGTGAGCAGATTGATGCTTTGGGGCTTTCTCAGTGATCCAAGGACACGGTTTGTTTGGTGTCACAGTTTCAGGACACTTTCAGCTTTGTGGATGTTTGAGTTTCAGTTTTATTCATCCAAAGAATCTGTAAATAAAATAAAAGCAATAAAAGAACCAAAGAACTCACAGACAAAAGAGCTGATTTAAAACCAGTAAAGTGTAAATCATCATCAAACTTATCTGCAAAGACAGAAGGTTGTTTGGGATCAGCGAGGATGACTTAGATCTCACTTTGTGCCGATTCATTATTATTTAACTTTTAAGTCATCTTTGAAGAACCTGATAATGCAGATTACAGTTACTGCTGCTCATTTTAATACTCGTCTGTTTGTTTCCACCTCGAGTATATTTAGTGCTGGTTACAGATCGACCATGTTACCATGGAAGGAGTGCCCAGGTGATTCTCAGGTGGAGGTAAATCTCACAGCACCAGAGGAGCACCTTCTGTTCCCTATAGCAGGAACACGAGACTCTAAAAAGTCCCATCAGAAGGAAACAGCTGGAAGGACAGCTGGACAGGAAAGGACGGGACAAACGTGGACACTATCTGAACCCGCCCGGCCGAGACTCTCTGCCGTAAAGCTACAACCACACTCACAGCTTTGCCGTAAACCAAAGAACGCGCAGAGACTCGGACGTCCACGGCGCGTCCTCAGATATTAACTGTGTAAATGTGAGGTCTCTGTGTAAACAGGACTGAAAACAGAAGCTCATAAACTCATTTTATCAAACACAGAAACACGTCACACGTTAAAGCTGACAAAATGAGCTGTTCTGAGATCAGTTTTAAAGCAGGACAGCAAATCTAAACTGCGGGTTTAGCATCGTCTTGCTCCATCATGAGGTGCACAGGCACTGACACGCCCCCATCAGAGCTGCAGGCTGATGTTTGGTTGGGTCTGACCTCAGATCAGTTTTAAAGGAGCTTTGCAGCTGTAACTTGTATGAGTGGAAGACACGCTGAGCTGCTCACAGACGCTGACTTCGCAGGTCGGCGACCCTCTGCCTCTCTAAGACGGCGGTTTGATGCTGTGATCGCGCATGCTCTTCCTTCACCTGTTTCTCTTTTTGCAGAATTTTTTTAAAGTTGTTGCCATGAAATTCAAAATGACCTCATATTTTTCTAACAATGGAAAATGTTGTCAGTTTAAAGCTTTGATTCGTTGTCTGTGTTTTATTGTAAATAAAATAAGCATCCTGAGTTTTGTGCATCTGGGTTGTAAAATCTTGAAAGCTGCTTCGTTGCAGTGACAGAGCGTGAATGCACCGAGGAGCTACAAATGGAAACGCTCTCTGAGCTGCAGAGGTCTGTGTGATTTACTGCCTCTATAAAAATCAGAGATTACATATAAACTCTACGTAAGTCAGCTTTTTATCATTGCAGAGGGTTTCTGTGGAGGAAGGAGAAACGAGATAAAAAGTACACCGAGTCTGCAGACGTGGCCGCCGGCCAGCAGCGACCTCCCCCGTCGTCGGCCGTGACAGGAACAAGCTGCAGTGATGTGTCTGCTTTATGGGCTGATGCTGCGACGAAGAGCAGGGACGAGGTGCTGCTGCCTGAACGCGGGCTGGCCTAATAAGGAAGAGAGCAGCGTGGTGTTTATCTGCTCCACACAGCAGACAGAAGACATCTGACACACTGAAAATCCCCCACACCTCCAGCCGCCTGAGAAAAGATGGAAACACGAGCGAACATCCAGCATCCGTGCAGCAGGCACCTACAGGCAGCTGCAGGCAGCTGCAGGCCGCCCCCTCAGCGAGCCGCTGCCATGCAGGATGCAGGTGTGCACACCTGCAGCAGCTGTTACGTTTCAAATCATCACACTTTCACTGATCCGGCATCCGACCACACACCGCCATGATGTCACAGACTGCTTTGACTGGCAGCGACAGACACCTTACACCAGGGCTGTCAAACATAAAGCCCGGGGGCCACAATCGGGCCCCCTGGATGGCTTTGGAAAATGTGAAGGAGGGCATAAATTGT